TCCTGTTTCCCTTGGTTTCAAGAAAGTCACTTCGCTCCTGAGCTCGGAAGACCCTGCCTTTAAATCTCAGGGTGGGATTCAGCGCACAGACTGAGACAACTCGATTTTAGAGTAGGGGTCCGTTGCACAAAGCTCGCCATCAATTCCAAACAGTCTGTGTGCCACACCTGCCAGCCTCATGCAGATGTTTCAGATACTGGTGGGAATCTCTAGAGCCACTAATCACCTTCATCTTTAAGTGAGGTAACATAAACATGTTGACTTACACACTGGTCTCCAGTACCATTTTAGATGAACTGGCTTCAAACTGGCCCTGCAAAGACACTGTGCAGACTGCACTCATCCTGGTGGCTCCCACATATTCCTGGTACAGTTATGCCTGAGTGTATGGGCTACGGGGATGGAAACTCTGACCCACCAGAACCTGCACTCTGGGGAGGTTTACTGAGGTCCGTGCAGTTGGCCACTGCTCCTCTTTCTCATCTGCACAAGAGTTACAGTAAACCTGAGTCCTTCATACACTTAAAAAAATAATAATAATAAAAAAAAGGTAGAGAAATCCATGAAAGAAGAAAAAAAGCCATATTTATTTCTACTTAAAATCCTGGCTACAGGAATTACACGCCAAAAGGATTTTAGTTGGATTTGTACAGTAGCAAAATCTGAAAGAAGAGCAAGACATGATAGTTGGTCTAATGTCTCTGCACTCTAACTTCCCATCTGCTTATAGAAGCACAGAATCATAGACTCATTTAGGTTGGAAAAGACCCTTAAGATCATCGAGTCCAAGCGTAGACCGTTAAGTCCAACTCTAATGCCATCCTTAGCTAGCCAGGGAATCCCTCAGGCTGCAACTACCTTGAATCAAAAATTAAATTGTTTGTTACTACCTGCAGAAGCCTTTCCAATCAAATTACCTTTCCTTGACAGTTATGAGGTTTACCAGAACTTGTCATCCAATGCTTCCCAGCGTCCTCATTGCAGACGTCTTTGGTTCCTTGCTTGCCATCATACCCATGTCTGTCGCCTTGTCTTTGATCCTGACTGGAAGATTAAGTGATGACAAGTCAGGCATGTTGCCTCCAGGAGGCACCTGCTTCTTCCAGCTGACGGAGAAGGACCTGTGATGAGTGGTGACCATCTAGAAACGGAAGTGGGCGGTATTCTTGGGAAGTGTGGTTTAAGCTCATCAGAAAGCTTTCCCATCCTAGACTAGCGATCCACTTTTGCACAAAGACATCATGAATGTTTACCGAGATCTTCAGTGACTGGCACAGAAAATCCGTTCATGCTCACGTTGACACCTGATGTGAGCTTCTGTACGCAAACCCCACAATTGTTTTCGCTTCCTGGGTTGAGGATCTATTCCTTTTGGTGAGTGCTGAGAAGAACCGAAGGTCCTCTCTACCCAGTGACTAGTGGCCTGAAGTCTAGGTCTTCTCCTTCTTGACTGGCTCACGGAAGGATTAGCAAGCAATGGTGGAAGCTTCTTACATGAAAGAGCTGTTCAACTTTGATTTGGTGGCACAAACCAGGGGTCTGACAAGGGTGCAGTGTGATCTCAGGCTCTGTTTCAGTCAGATAGTAACCATGCATTCTCAATTCATCCGTTCACTCATCATCAGCAAACCCCTGCACTACCCTTAGAGGCTCAGTGTCAGGCTTTGCAGCAGCAGGACCTGTTGAGAAGAAAGGAAAAAACTTCCCTTCCTGACTGCTGTCACCTCCCAAGGTGAAAGTGTACAGAGCTGTTTTCTTCTGGACGTTGTAAAATGACAGCTGCTTGGCTGAGATGTCCAGGAAGATCCCAATCATTGGCAGCTTCCCACTCACGCTCAAACAGGTCCAAGGCTCTGTGTGGGCCCAATACTCTCGCCCATTGGCAAACCCTATGACCCAGAAGCCATTCTTAGGGGACAGAGTCACTGTCCCTTTGCGAGTCACAGATTCCCGGGCAATACCCAAGGCCCAGCTTCTTCTCTTGCCAACATCTACTTCCCAGTAGTGTCTCCCAGATGTGTATCCTTCCTTTGCCAGCACAAAAGTGTGGGAATCAAATCTCTTCTCCTTGCTGGGCACCTTTCTGATGGTGCCAGTGTCTTTCACACTCTTCCCATCGTCAGAGATTTCCAGTCTGGGGTGAGCCGTGTCAGCGTCCAGGGTGACATCAACTGCAACGATCAAGTCACTTGAGTAGTAAAAAGCATAAAGGCTGCAGCTGTGAAACTTTCTGTTACGTGTCCCCTCCCATTGGTTCCCTCGCCATCCCTTGTTCTCCGCTCTGATGCATCCTAGGCAGCCCCTTTCCCAGGATACCTCTAGCTTCTGCTGTCCCAAATCTCCCAAGTCCCTTGTCTCTCATCTGCGGCATGCTGAGAGAGTGGTTGGCACGCACCAAATGCAAAGCAACTCAAAGACACTCTCCTGAAGATGTCATGTAGCTTCAGGAAGGAATGTAGGGAGATGACAAGCCTCTGCCTTCATTGTGGCAACTCTGTAGAGGTGACCAGAGGAGAAGAACCATGGCTTGGAACACACCTCCTCTTTGGGCAAAACCAGAATCACAGAATCCACTTGCATGAGAGTATGGGGAGAAATTCCATTGACCAAGACTGTATGACACAAATACACCAGGTTGTGTTGTATATTCACAAATACACTGACTTGTGAAGTTTCTTGGGCAGCAAATGAATAAGAGAATGCTTAAGAAACAATTCTTGCTGTTAAGAAGTCATCTGAGCCATTCCTTGTGAAGGAGGAATGTGTTTTCCAGAGCCGCGTGCAGGCTCCAAGAGATGGGATTCAGCATGGCTTCTTTTCTTACCTTTCTATCGTCGTGTCTGCAGAAATTCTGTAGGAAAATGAACAAAGGAGACATTGCGTGGATTTAACAGGGAGACCATGGGTCCCGCGAGCTCACACACAGTCTGCGATGCTGACAGATAAGCATGCTCTCCTGCAGTAGCATGTCTTTTCTACAGGTCAGAAAGCACATCACAAGCCCATCTCATCCTCCAAAGAGGAAAAGCCAGTGGGCCACTCCAGTGATTGGTCTCACAGAAAGAGTTTAAACACACTGTGAATACAGAAAGGAAAGAGGACGTGGTCCCTGGTAGGAAAGAGAGTGGCCTGGTAAAAAGGCCAAAGACCTCGTGTCTGGAGAGGTCTCTCGCAGCTGTCATGGAAGGGAAAACCCTGGTGCCTTCCAGACACTTGACAATACCTCATTGTAAAACTGCTTCATAATCCCATTCCTATAAGTCTTGGAGTCCAGGATTTAGCCCGTGCCACCCTTTGGCCTAATTCCCTCTCCCGTACAAAGGTATTCCTTAGCATTACACGCTGTTTCCCAAGAAAAGTGACTGAGGTGAGAGCAGTTTGCTGAGCTGGGCAGGTTTTCAAAGGACGTCTCAGCAGTGTCTGTTTCGTAAGGAGCACTGGAGACGACATGTCACTTACTCTTTTCTCTCACCAGTTGGTCTGTAATGACAAACAGAAGAGTAATCAAGCACAGAAGCATAAATATTTACAGAAGAAGCCCTTGAAAAGCAAGGATTCTCTTCTCCTCTCTCTTGAAAAAACAGATCCTCCCCAAAAGATACCTCATGGCAAGCCTTGTAGGTACGGATAAGTTGCATCAGAACAAAGGCAACTTGCCAAAGCCAACCAGGTGGACTTTAATGACTTCTCAAAAGGAGATTCCTGTCCACACTGAAAACCATATTCCTCAGTCCCACCGGTATTTCATTCCTTCCTTCCTTCCTTCCTTCCTTCCTTCCTTCCCTAACTCTCTTTGGAACGCTTTCCCCCTTCCCTCCTTCCCACATGAGCTTCTTTCAAGGGCAAGGCCCTTTTCTCAGATTCCAACCACACCTGAAGGCCTCAGCTGGCTTGCCTGGACATGGGTACCTGCTGCAGGGACCACAAGGACACTGCCCTCGTAGCCTGCACGGAGAGACCCTTCTTCCATCACACACCACCATGTCACTCTTGGAGGGAGCCTCTGCCTCTTAAAGGGCACCACCCCACACAGCAGAGAGCACTTACCGTTCTCCTCTTGCACCTGGGCTACAAAGGGAAGGGGAAAGGCAGTTAGCAAAGAGAGATTTCTGGGCTCAGACCCCACCTGGGCTCCTGATGCGGGCGCATGGCTGGGTCTGTCTTGCCTTTGCCTGAGACCATGGTTACTGGGGGAAAGGGATCTGCAGGACTGGGTAAGCAGTGGCATGGGCCCAACACAAAGCCCAGAGGCTCTGCAGGAGAAGAGGCAACCAAGGGCTCTCAGCAGCTGCAAGGCAAGATGCTGCATGAGGTTCTAGAAGCATGGCCAACTGATGCATGGGGAGAGGCTGGGAAGAGCACACCTTGCTTGCCTGGACATGGGCACCTGCTGCCCAAGACACCCCGCTCATGGCCCACACGGAGAGACAATTCTTCCACCACACACCAGCACGTCCCCTGTGTAAAGGAGCCTCTGCCTCTTGAACGGCAGCACCCCACACAGCAGAGAGCACTTACCGTTCTCCTCTTGCACCTGGGCTGCAAAGGGAAGGGGAAAGGCAGTTAGCAAAGAGAGATTTCTGGGCTCAGACCCCACCTGGGCTCCTGATGTGGGCACTTGGCTGGGTCTGCCTTGCCTTTGCCTGAGTTCATGGTTACTGGGGGAAAGGGATCTGCAGGAATGGGGACGTGGTGGCATGGGCCCAGCACAGAGCCCAGAGGCTCTGCAGGAGAAGAGGCAACCAAGGGCTCTCAGTAGCTGCAAGGCAAGATGCTGCATGAGCTTCTAGAAGCATGGCCAACTGATGCATGGAGAGAGGCTGGGAAGAGCACACCTGGCATGGAGTACTCAGCTGTGGGCTGCCAAGTTCACAAGAGGTAGGGAGAAGGTGGAGAGGCTTTAGGGGAGAGCTCCCCAGCTGTGCGGGAGGGTGGAGGTCCTGCTGTGCCTGGCCTGCCAGGTGATGCCACGGGCTCCTTCCGTGTGGCCAAGAGGAGATGGAGGGAACCATCTCCAAGGAGCCTGTAGCTGCAAGAAGGGCATTGCCCAAGAGGATGGTGAGAAGCATGGGGAGGTGGGGGCAGGCTCTGTAGCAGGGAGACATTGCCATGAAATGGAGCTGGGGAGGGTGAGGCTAGACTTATGGGGAACGTTCCCCTTGGCAAGGTTGGACTCCAGCTTTGAAGGACTGGACCCCTTAGCAAAGCCCATGACTTCCCCCTGTGCTTTCCTGTAGAAGCCGCTGTGCCAGAGCAGTGGTGCCAGGTGGGGGATGGAAGTGAAGGGGCAGAGAGGGAGGCCAGCAGCAGGCTGTGTGTCTGTCTGGTAGGGAGGAGGGCTGGGCCCAGGGCCTCAAGAGCGCTCCCCATTCCCACCCTGCACTCGAGGGACAAGCAGCCTCCCACACGCCAGGCACCACTCACCCATCTTCTCTTCAAGTCGTCCTGCAGAGGAGAGGAGAAAGGCAGTTAGAGCCAGTGGAGGATGCATTGCATGAAGCCCCAGGGAAGGTGTTTGCTGCAGTTGGGATCCTCCCGAGAAGCTGAGTGCATTCATGGCCTAGTGCAAGTGTGTGCTGAGGCCAAGCCCTGCCCCTGGACACCTTGAGGGTGTTGGTGCCTCGCAGCAGAACAAAGAAAACCTGCCAAGGCCACCCAGCTGCATTTTAATGACCTCTCCGAAGTTGACTTCTGTCCACGCTGGAATGAATATTCCTCCACCCCACCGGTATTTCCTGTAGTTACTGTTGAGGCCACTGAGTCCTTCCTTTGGAAACCTTCTTGGTGCAGGTGACCAGCAGCAATGCAATTGTAGCTGCCATGGACACTCACCTGTGTTGAAGAGATCTCAAAGAAGAGGGTCAACAAATGAAGCCTACTTCTTGTTTTCACTTCTCTTAGTTTATGTCTTTGCCTCACCTTGCTGCAATGCTCTGGGGAGTTGGACAGGAAAGGAATGTGGATGTGGAAGGTCATGTGGCAAGTTCTTTAACAGGGAGGAATTGCCAGGAATGCAGCTTGGGAGGGGTGAGGCTACCCACCGCTTTGGGGGACTAACAGGGTAATACTTGCCATGTTCTGATAGTACTCAAAGCATGTCTGAATGAAGTCTTGGGGAGTCTTAAGGAGATGTCCTTCTGCCCAAAGATTCTCATTCAGCATGTCTTCCAGCTATCACTTCACCTATTTACCCCAGTTTCAGTAACTCCTACCAATGACCTTAAAATATCTCCTTTGCATAAACAAATGCCCTGTGCTCCCAGAAAAAAAGAAGGGAAACAAGGCACTCTCAGTTGGGGGAGGGTGATAGCTCCTTACAGATATCCGCCACATATTTGAAGGCCCTTATGGAGTGGTGTTTTGTAAGCAGAAACGAGCATTTACCTTCACCTAACAAGGGGTGCCCTGCAAAATAAAAGGCATTTGAAAGTATGGGTTGTTGTGACTTTAATTTGAAAATAAGTATGCTTAGCTACCACCTAGGAGGAACTCGGCCAACTTACGTGGCGCAGCAGAGTCTTCTCAATCGCAGCCTGCACCTAGATGGGCTCTGGGCACCCATACAGCTCCCTCCCCCACACCTGCTATTGCAGTGTCCACGTGGCCATTACTTCCTGATGCCTACAGATTTATGCCTGTGTGCACTATCTGGCCTGACCCCCCTCATCCCTCGTGGTTCTCCTGCCGAGAGGGCCCAAGTCAATGGCAGGATGGTGGATGAAGACACATGACATACACGTAAGCTGGGAACTAATGGGGTTCAGCTGGAGTGCTTCTGCTGCTTGAGAAGCACCATCCTTGAGGAAGGACTGCGTGAGAGCCAAGTAGTTTCACACCGACTCTGGCCATGCAAAAATGTCCAGCAGAGCACTGGGGAACAAGAGAGTGGCATCTTTCCCATCTCAAGCTCAGTGCCATCTAAGTTTAAAAATTTCAAATATTTTTTTTCCTTTCTACCTGCAGCAGAAGTTTGACCTGCAAAAGCAGTAAGTTTTACATGTCAACCTTTGCCTTTTATTTCTTTAACATGTTATATTAAATGTTTTGAATATTTGTTTAGCATCTGTTACCTTCTTCCATACGTCCGTATGGATCTGGAAGGGAGAACAAAGCAGAACAGATCAGACAGGATAACTCCCTTTTCTGAGGCTGTACTCACAAAAGCCTAAGTGTTAGCAACCTGAGGATTGTCTAGTTGTTGCTGCAGGCTATGGGCTAAATGACTGAAAAGGATTATGCATGTCAAAGCACGGAAGTCCTTTGAATTCAGAAGAAAAGTTTGCTGTTTACAGCATAGACTTGGGGCTGGGCGCTGGAGGGAATTTATGCCAAGCTTGTGTCTTCTCTGGTACAAAACCAAAAGTGAAGGTGTTTTGTAATGTAGCCAATCAAACCAAACTGGGGCTTTCCCAAACATTGCTGAGATGTGTCAGAGAGGAAGCAATGTACACAAGAGTGTGATGGAGGATGCGTTACACAGCAGAGGAGTCAGAGCCCATCGTCTGGCTCCTATCACGGGTTCCTCTTACTCATATAGACCCTCAGGTATTGCACTTTGCCTCTAGCTCATGTTCCCGAAGGGCACGGGGCTCCTGTCCGTCCTTTGTCATGTCTGCCATGGATGGCTTTGATGCTTGAGGGCATGGGCCTAGCTGACTATGGTTAATCACTGAATTCTTGTTTGATAGGAAGGCACTCAGAAATACAAGAGGATTCCACTAATATCTTACCTTTCTGTTTTTGTTTACGATAACTCCAGAGTAGTGCCAAGTTCAAGATGAGGCTTGAGACTGCCAGAACTGTTAGTAAAATTAATGCCGGAGACCAACCTGCATTTTTTTAAAAGAACTGTATTTAATATTTCGTGGAAGTAGAATTAAGTGGACCATGCAATCTCTTAGGTGGCTTAACAGAGCTTCTTTCTTGGAATGTGCTAATGAATTGCTGTCTTTGTCCCAGTGGACCCCGTGTATCAGGATACTACAGGCATGTACAGTATTTCTGATTCAGAAAATGACACAGATCAAGGGAAGAACAATCTTATGAGCTTTGTTTTAGTTTCTAAGATGAATGCAGAGAACATAGCAGTGGAAAGCATCTTTCATGTGAAGTTTTCTGAAGAAGAAAAAGGACTTAGAAGTGAGGGAGATGAAGGATTTGTGATCAGCCTCTTCAGTGGGGAAGCAGAGGTACTCTGAGAGTGCCAAAAGTAGACTTGGGTTGGCAAGCTTCTCTGCCCAGTGATCTAGGGTACAATTTTAAAGTGTATATTTAAAGAAATGTATACACACACACACACACACACACATATATATATGCGCTTGAGTGCAGTGGAGCAGTATGGCCACGTGCTGGAAAGGGGACGTAGTTGCAGAGGTAGGCTCTAGACTCACAGTGCCAGGGACAACATTTCACCCAGCAGCTGCAGGGTTTCCTGGAAAGTGGACAAAGTTGGCTGCTTGACCCCTCATTGAGGAGTTTACCCCCCATCCTACATCCCCCAGCTTCCCCAGCAGAGTCACACACATCAAGGGAGGCAGGAAAAGAGTGGGACAAAGGAAAGCACAACAAGGCCAAGTCACAGCACAGTGCTCACTCAAAGGCTGAGCCAATCCTCCACCAGAGAATCCCAAGCCTAACCTTTCTTCGGTGCCCTGGGAGCCTCCTTTCAGCCTGTCTAGACTCTCTGCAGCATCCAGCGATGCCGTGCTAAGAGACAATGATCTGCCCAAGGTACAGGAGGGACCTCTGCGACGGGTGGATCAAGCAAGAGCTCACCCTTTATCTCCCTCCCCAAGCAGGACCTGGCCTGCTAGCATGGTGAGCCAGCCATGACAAATAAACATTAAGCATGGGTTTACCTTGGGAACAGTTGCAGGTAACTTCTGAAGCTATAAAAGAAGAGGAAGATGAGTGAGGGGAAACAGTATTCACAGATGTGCCACTTGGTCATTAGGGCCTGACATCACTTATGCTCTGCCACTGCCTTCCCCTCAGACTTCATCAGGGAGGGGAGGAAGCAGCTGAGTCCTGGCACTGACCATGGGGATCCCAAGCCTACAGCCCATTCTGAACTCATACAGAGGTGGTAAGACACCAGGATATGTGCCCAAACACGAGCAAGGGACATCCTAAGAAAACTGACAGAAACCGCCAACCCTGGCTTCCAATGGAAAACCATCCCTCAGCCTACCAGACCCTTCCCTTGGGTCTGTGCCATGTCCATAACTCTTCTGAATGGGGAGTTTCGCCATGGTGGGGGAGTGAAGTAACTAAGTGATAAGGTGATAGAAGGCACCTCATAAGCAGTAGGAGGCCTGGAAAACCGTGCCAGTTACTCTTCAAAGTAGGTTTTGTCTCTTACCTTGTTTATCCATGTTGCTCAACTGTCCTGTTACCCCTTTAACAAAAGCATTGCTTGTTAGAACATTTTCCTTCTTTACTTGCAGGTAGGAGAAAAGAGCTCCCTGAGCACCAGAAAGTTTAGCCGTGTGCCTGGTTCAGAGCCAGGATTGCTCCTTTCACAGCAGCCTTCCTGCTAAACGCTCATGTCCCCATGGAAAGTTGAGGAGTAGGAAAGATGACAGCTAGCCTGCAAGCCCAACATTTGCCTTTCCCATCCCTCCACATCCCACCACTTCACCTAGGGAAGTACATGAGCAAAGAAGCAGGCAGACCCTTGCTGGTTTGAGCAACAAGGGAAGTGGCAAATCCCAGGTCTTCCTTCTCTTCCTTATGGTGTGGACAGCATTTACCCTGCCTCCCCCAGAATGCCTGTCTGCTCAGATGTGTTCCTCTCCTTCCTCGGCAGGCATGCTCACAGAGAGGAAAGGCAAGGCAGCCTGCACTGAGGTCCCAGCAGCCATTACCTGACTGCCCCCAGGTCACATCGCTCCCCTGTTCTCACAGGGCTTTGTGGATTCCCCCTAGGTTTGTTGTACAAGTGGCCGAGCACTGATCGGATGGCTCTGTTAGACCATCTGCTACTTCTTTGGGTGACATAAAGGTATTGTGTCTCTTTTGCCTGAAAACGTCGGGGGCCCACTTGAAAGAGGATTTCTTACCTGATGAAAAAAGGAACACAGAAAATGGGAAAAGGATGAGGGAACAAAATATTCCTGTTCTTCCTTTCCGGAGCCAGGTAGTTGTAGTTTCTGATGTGCTGCAGTGTAAGAGACAGAGAAAGGTGGTAGAACAAAGTCCTCAATGAAGCCAAGTACCACATCTCTCCTCTCTCCTTTAAACATTGTGTTCCTTGTCATCCCGTGTCACATTAAAGGGAAGCTGTGCCCAGATGATCAGCTGTGCAGCACAGGAGGCTTCTCATGTCTTCTGTGTACCTTAGGCCTTGACTAAAAGTATACTCTGAGCAATCAAGTTGCTGACAATACAATTCTTAGTTGCTGCCCCTATATATTCATAACAAGACTGTTCCTGACATCTCA